TCAGATTAGAATTAACACCTTCTATTGGATGGTGTTTTAATAGATGGCTAGTTTCAAATAAAGCTGCCCTTGATTTCCTTCTTTGTCAAATGGTCTTGGATGGAATCTACACAGCAATGCAGCATTTCTAGATACTATCAGAGAGGACAAACACTGATACTGCTTCATGCAAAAAAATTGTTGAAATGCTGTCACCCCATGTGATTCTGCAGATCCACACTTGAAATATCTGTAATAGCCTATGTGAGAAACAGGATTATTTATCACCACAATCCACCTTCCTTCCTTCTTACAGTCATATTCTCTTCATTCCCTATTAAAATCTGTAGCAAAAACTCCCAGCAGGCCTTGGTGTTATCTGAGGATGCAAAAAACCCCTTTTGTCCTACCAGTTAATATCAAAAAGTACCTCAAGTGATTCTTATAAAAATATATATATTTCAAGTGTAATTTACTATTTTGCTTAACAGTGTTTAGATGTCTGATGAAATAAATATTTGACATTCTGTGTGTGTGTGACAGTGGGAGCAGTAGATGCTGCATTATATTCCCACCAGATTTGACTATTTAATTGCCCACTTCACCAATTCAGAAAACATGTGGAGAGAACCCCTCATTTGCTTCCATGTTTAATATTCTTGAAAAAGAGATGACATTCAAGAAATTAATTTCTTGTATGCTAACGAGTGATCCAAATTAAACACATGCAAAAATATAAATGTGTGTTAATATATAAACGTATGTATTTATATATATATTTATACACAGTTAGGGAGGTGATAGGAAATAGTCTGTTTCTCTAAATTTCAGAATAAAAAATTGATTGGAGAAATATGGAAATACTTACTCTTCAGTCTCTCACCAGGCTTTAGTTTTTGTTTTATCCACACAGATCCTTAATGAATCTCACCATTAAACAAGAATCTTAGTAGTAACTTGTATGTAATCTAGTCATACTCTCAACTTTCATTCAAAGTAGCAGTGGAAATGCATGCACAAGCTTTATCAGTTTTCATATTCCTGTCTAATGTTTATCATAAATTGCCATATCAGTTAGTGTTAAAATGGCAATTGTTTCGGCATAATCTATATAAAAATATAGAAGGAAACTAGTAGTCAGGCGGAGGCAAAGCAGAAATTTTCTGATTCTTGAGAAATTGATAATCTGATACAACAGTTTTTACTGTGATTCCCTTCAATATGTCACCACAGATATGACTGAGTAAGCTTTATATGGTCAATTGTCAGCTACATTTTAAAAAGTGTCCTTGGTGACCCTGTTTCAAAGTCCCTAACGGGTGCAAATTAAAAATAATACAGGAAACCAAAACAAAAGCTAACTAATGCACCTAGGAATTGGGACAATGTACTTGGAGACTAGAAGACGTATTAATAACACCAAGGTCAAAATGTATTATCAGTGTGCTAATCTATGTTAAAATAGTGATCCTAGTAGTAATTTGCTCTTTGTTCACATAATTTATATTTTGTATATTGTTAGCGATAGACATTTGTTCAAAACTTTTTGATAATTTTTGCCTTACGAACTACCACCCTTTTGCTGTTTTGAATAAGAATTTTCTAATATGTTTGCAAATATTCATGCTATTAAGTACATGAATATCTTGTATCTTAAAAATCCACTTGCATGATTTACTATTTAAATTTAATACAATTAATGTTTTTGATATAGAAAAAGTTAGGTTAATACATATAAAATATATTTGTGTTTTGTTTTATTTCTGAAGCTATTGTCATTGTTTGAGATCATATATACTTATATATGTATTTATGTTTATGTATTTATTTATATAACTGATCATATATTTATTTATATGACTTTGCAACAATTAATGACTTACACTGTTTACATTAACACTTTCTCCCTCTCTGGTCAGATTTAAATGTTTTCATAAACTACATTATGCTGGTGATGATGTGTTAAAAATTGAATTCTCTTTGGGCCTCCCTGGTGGCGCAGCAGGTTGAGCACAGCTCTGTGAGGTTGTCTGTGTCTCTACAGCACCGGTTCCATTCCCGGCTCTCCAGAGAGATTCCCACATGGCACAGCAGACCTCTCCTGTCACGCCCGCTGCTCCCCTCAGCAGTGTATTTTTGGTCCTTCTGCCTGTTCTGCTCCCCACTGTGTCTCTGGTGAATCCTCTCACCCTCCTGTGCTTCTGGCCTGCACCCCAGTGCTTGTAAAAATAAATAAATCTTAAAAAAAATGAATTCTCTTCTACTGTTGGTGGGAATGTAAAGTAGTCTGGCTACTATGGAAAGCTGTGTGGAGATTCCTCAGCACTAAAGAAATGGACATACCCTATGACCAAACCTAGGAATCTACCCAAAGGATACAAAAACACAATGAAAGAAATCTGCACTTCTGTGCTTTATTGCATTACTATTTACAATAGCTAAGATATGGAAACAGCATAAATGCCCCAAGCAGATGTATAGATCAAGAATATGGTATAAATACAACATAGAATACTACTCAGTGGTCAAAAAACAGAAACTCATGCCATGAGGCAGCAAGGATGGAGCTGGAAGGGATTATGTAAGCAAAATAAGTCAGGAGAAGAAAAATAAATATCAGATATTTCCCTTACATGTGGAATATAGAGAACCCACCAAAGTGTCAGGAAAAACAAGAGATGACAAAACTTGCAAGCTGATATAGATCTGAGGTATAAAGCAGGGCTGGGGGTAGCAGAGGGTCCAAACAGGAGAGGGAAGAGCACAAGGGACTGTGGTCATGGTTCATGGGTGCCATGATGGTGGGAGACCTAAAGGATGACAGAAGAGGGAAGAAATCCAATATTATCCAAAAATGAACAAGATTAAGAAAATAAATAAATTAATTAAAGAAATTAAAAAGAGAAAGCATTCCCTCAAGTCTTTCTGTTTGCTTGAAACACTAAAATGACATTAGAAGCGAGGGAGGCCGTAATGTGGCAGGAGGAGACAGCACAGACTAATCCAAGAAAGTTAGAAGCAGCCTGGGTTCTTGGTGACTGCTACTCAGACAAAACCATTTTTTCAGTTCATTAATCATTCATTCTTAACTTATTAATGGGGCTGTTCTTGGACTTTGACAATTTTAAATATTGGCACGTTGGCTTGCTCTGTATGCTTCTAATGAAATGTTCATATGCTATCAAATATTATACATGTTAGGCGTATATACCTTATTTTTGTGTATCACTGAATGTAGTCTCTGACATTTGGTGTGTTAGTCAGTCTTGAGTTACATCAGTTTTGCTTTATAGTTTCTAAATTTGCTTTCCTTAGAAAACCTTTAATCACACTTTATAAGACATTTATTTTTTATATTATTTATATTTTTTAGTCATGTTAGTTTTTAATTTATTTGTATCTTTCATTATTTGTACAATAATGGCCATTGGCACATTCAATCTAAAATTTCCTACACATGATAAGTCAGCTATTCCAACACAATTTATTATTAATGATAAGGTTTTATTAGACCTGATGTTAAATAATAACTTTAATACTTTCTTGATTTTTTCTTTGTTTTCTAGTTCTTTTGCTCATATATATATTTAAAATTTCATATCTATAGCATTGCTTCTGTTCAGTGTGTAAAGACAGAAGTGAGTAGACATTTTTTGTAAAAGAGCAGATAGAAAACATTTCTGGCTTTTGGTTCATGAGATCTTTATTAAATGAGTCAATTCTGACATTAAAAGCAACCACGGGAAATATACAGATATGTGAGAGTGGACACGTTCCAATAAAACTTCATTTGCAACAACCAGTGGTGGCTGGATTTTACCCTCAGGCCTCAGTTATCTGACTCTTGCTCTAAACTGTGGTCCATACCCTTGAGGTATTCCTCAGCATTCCCCCCAATGTTCAGTGAGATCTGGGACTTCAGGGGATATTGACAAGGTGTCTTCACTTTGCTTGGCTCAAAACTCCAAGGTCACAGACAACTTGACCTCTGCACCTCTGTTGAGCTCTCAGCACTGTAGCTGGTAACCTTGAGCACACTTGCCCTCCCTGTGGAACATCAGACCCCCAGTCATGGCTGCATGGGGATCTCCTGCCCTGTCCTAGTTCAGTCTGGCATTGGGCCAAGGATACTAACTTTGTTACCTGATCTGATCTTTGCAAACATATCTCAGAGGCACAATCAGGTTGCTCTTTATCTCTTGGTCATAGTGTGAACTGAGCATAAAATACTATGGACTCAGTTTCTCAATTTCCCCTTTTTCAAAATACTGAATGGATCCACTCATTGTGAAATGTTTCCTCATGTAATTGATTCAGTTTTATGATAATTAATTGCAGAAAACATGCTATAAAACAAGTAGCTCTGATAGAGACAGAAAAAAAGCCTCCTGTTATTTTAAATATTTCTTTTTTTGTTCATGTGTGTGTACGCATGCATGAGTGCTTGCTTGCCATTATTGTCAAGGAGCTTTGGTCTAAATTTTTAGGTTTCTTGAAATAATATCTTTTCTATATCATATTTGTTTCCACATTTTAGGTATTTATTTTCTGACATTGGTCTTCCTATATTTAATTTTACTCGATGTGCTAAGTTTAAGTTTTATCTTAAAATTTGCATATTCAGCACCCTTAATACAAGATGAACTTTTATATTTCAAATATTTCTTTTAGCATATTTACATATTTAATATAAAAGAGTTTATCAAAACTCTTTTTTCAAAAATTTTCCAGGAATCATAGATACTATATTAGCATGTTATACCATTTATTTTTGAAGAATATTTGTTTGGTATTGGATAAGGGGAGGTAGTGAATCCTAGAAAAATATTCTAATGCTATTCTCAGGAGAAACCATTTTGATTGCGATTAAGTGGAAAAGAATTATTTAATCTAAACAGGTTCACAAATCAAGCTTCAAAGGATCATGAGCTTATAAACCTGACTAACGTAATGTGTCTTTCAAAAAAACTGTTAAAGGATAATCTCTCATTTTCATTTGATTGTTTCAATTCCATGTGCTCTTACTTGTTTAAAATAAATGCAATTTTTTTTATTGTGTCTTTGAAAGCTTGTTTCACTTGCTTGTTCCTCAAAGTATAAATGAAGGGGTTCAGCAGAGGAGCAACAGATGTGGTAAGCACGGACACTCCTTTGTTAATTTCCACCTGCTCTTTGGCTGAAGGCTTGATGTAGATGAAGATACAGCTGCCGTACGTGATGGAAACAACAATCATGTGAGAAGAACAGGTGGAAAAAGCTTTCTTTCTCTGTGAAGCAGAAGGGAATCCTAGGATAGTCCTGATGATATATATGTAGGAAAGAGCAACTTCTATCAGCGTGCTGATGAATATCAGCACTGCACAGAAAATGACCACCACCTCTGTGGACGAGGTATCCGAGCATGAAATTTTAAAAAGAGGAGAAGCATCACAGCCAAAATGATCGATGGCATTGGAGTCACAGAATTCTAGCTGGAGGCCCATTCCAAATGGAATGAGAACAATGATCAATGCAGAGAGCCAGCAGCAGACCACGAGGATGGTGCAGACTCTGGTGTTCATGATGGTCACATAATGCAGGGGCTTGCAGATGGCCACATAGCGGTCATAGGACATGGCTGCCAGGAGAAAAAATTCTGTGGCTGCTGAAAGTATAATAAAAAATATTTGACTGAAGCAAGCATTATAAGTAATGGTATTATCTCCAGTTGATAAACTATACAGGTATCTGGGGATGCAGGCTGTTGTGAATGCAATTTCTAAGAAGGAGAAATTTCGGAGAAAAAAATACATAGGTGTTTTGAGTTGGGAATCTATTAGGGAAAGAATGATAATTGTCAGGTTTCCAGTTATACTTAATATGTATGTCAGAAATAAGAAGACAAGAACCAGCACTTGCAGCTGTGGGTCCTCTGTAAGACCCAGCAAGACGAATGTTGTTATTGATGTGTGATTTCTCATTACAAGCTCCATGTTTTAGTTAGTCTGCCTGTAAAAAATCAACCAGGAATTATTTTAACAGGTAGAGAATATAAAATGGAAAATCAAGAAAATAGAAGATTGAAAAACAAGTGAGAAGATTAATGAAGTTAAAAGCAGATTCGTGTTCTGCTTTTATTAAATAGTATTTAAGTGGCAACATACATTTATGTTAAAAAACACTTAATAAAATGAGTATGGATGGGAAAAATATAATATTTACCTCTACATTTTTCTAGAAGTCCTTTAAGTGTGTGGAGGTGCTATTTTGATATTAAGGAAAATATATATGATAAGCTACTTTATAATTTAGTTAGATTAGAATTAGTACCTTATTTTGGATGGTGTGTAATTAGATGACTAGTTTCAAACAAAGCTTTCACTGAATTTTTTCTTTGTCAAAATGGTCTGGACTGGAATCTATACAAAAAGCCAGAATTTAGAATTTCTAAATACTATCAGAGAGGCCAAACACTGACACAGGTTCATAAAAAATTGTTGAAATGCTGTTACCCCATATACTTCTGCAGATCCACACTTGAAATATCTGTAATAATGATGTGATAAGCAGGATTGTTTATCACCACAACCTACCTTCCTTTCTTCTTACAGTCATATTCTCATCATTCCCTATTGTAATCTGTATCAAAAAGTCCCTGCAGACCTTACAAAACAAGGCTGCAAAACAACCCTTTTGTCCTAGTTAACATCAAAATGTGCTTCAAATGATTCTGATAATATATTTCAAGTGTTATTTACTATTCAGTTTTACAGAACTTCAATGTCAAAAATTACTTATGCTTTTTTTTTGTTTTCGTTTTTCATTAAGGTAATGTTGGTTTACATCATTGTTTGTATTTTGGAAGTATAGGATCCCCCCTTTTGGTGGTGTTACCATAGCGCTCTGACCACCTAAGCCCCATAGACATACTTATGCTTTTTATTTATTTATTTTTTTTATTTTTTTTTTTTTTCGTTTAAAGACAGAGGCTTTTATTATAGGAAAGACATATTTAAAAAATATTGAAATTTCAGGGAAAATGTTAAACAAACTACAAAAGAAAAAAATAAGTTCCCTGATTCTTCCAGTATCATTTAAATAGTTATAATAATGTAAAGATTGTTTATTGTTTTAACAAAATAACTATATTCAAAAGAATTTAACATGCTTGCTTCAGAAAGGGGAACATGAAGAAGGGGAAAGTGGGGTAGGAGAGGATGATTGTTTTTTTTTTTTTTTTTATAATAAATTTTATTTTTATATTCCCCATACAATTGCAACCCCCTTATTTTGACCCCAATCCCTCCCCTCCCGCCCCCTACCCCCCATAGAGTGTCTCTGGTTCATAGTTTTTTGTTGATTTTGATTTTCATGAAAGTCATCTTCTAATTCAGCATACCATTGATGTTTATGGACTGCTGGGATTTTCTTTTTTTTTTTTTTTTTTAAATATTAAATTTTATTTTTATATTCCCCCATACAATTGCAAACGCCCCATTCTGACCCCAATCCTTCCCCTCCCGCCCCCCACCCCCCAAAAAGTGTCTCTGGTTCATAGTTTTTTGTTGATTTTGATTTTCACTTTCTTATATTCATTTTCCTGGTCCCTTATTTAAGTTTTCTAGATTCCTGCTATGAGTGAGACCATCCGGTATTTTTCTTTTTCTTTTTGGCTTATTTCGCTGAGCATGATCCCTTCCAGTGCCATCCATGTTGCTGCAAATTGCATGTGTTTATCTTTTTTGAATGCTGAGTAATATTCCATGGTATATATGTACCACATCTTCTTGATCCAGTCATCTATTTTTGGGCATTTGGGTTGTTTCCAAAGCTTAGCTATTGTAAACAGTGCTGCTATAAACATAGGAGTGCAGGTGCTCTTTGGAATTGATGTTTCTGTGTCCTTTGGGTAAATACCTAGGAGTGGAATTGCTGGATCATATGGAAGCTCTATGTTTAGTAGGTATGCTTTTTAAAGGAAAAGGTTTAAAAAAATGAAAAATCAAGCCAAATTTCATTCAGTTGAGGAGATAAATATTTGAGAGTCTGTGTGTGTGTTTGTTGGGAGGAAAGGATGTCTGGGTTGCCCTGTAACATTTGACAGTGGGAGCAGTAGCCGCTGTGTTACATGCCCACCAGATTGATTATTCAATTGCCCACCTGCTTCACCAGTTCAGAGAACATGTGCAGAGAACCCCGCATTTGCGTCTACGTCTTATATTCTTGAAAAAGCAATAACATTCAAGAAATGAATCTGCTGTATCAGTATGAACTATTCAAATTAAACATACACATATTTATAAATGTGTTTCTATGTAAGTATGTATGTATATATATATATTTACATATACTTAGGAGTAGGATAGGAAATAATTAGTTTTTCCAAATACAGATAATGATTTAAGAAATGTGAATATACTTACAGTTCAGTCTCTCATCAGGCCTCCGTTTTGTTTTATCCCCACAGATTCTTAATGAATCTCACCACCACACAAGAATTCATAGTAGTAACATAGATAGAATCTCGTCATACTCTCAACTTTCACTCAGGGTAGCAGTGGAAATGCATGCACAAGTTTTATCAATTTTTATATTCCTATGTCTAAAATTCATCATGAATTGCCATGTCAGTTAAAGTTAAAAAGGCAATTATTTCTGTTTCATCTGGATGGAGACAGAGATGGAAAACTTGCAAACAGGCAGGGGAAATCCAGAAATTCTTTTTGATTCTTGAAAGCCTGATGATGTGATCCAATAATTTTAGCGTGACACCCTTTAACATTTCACCACAGAGATGTTTGAAGATGCTTTATGTAGTCAACTGTCAACTAAGTTTTAAAGAAAGTGTCCTTGGTGACCCTGTTTCAAAATCCTAGCGGGTGCAAATTAAAATTAACACAGAAAACCAAAACAAAAGCTAACTAATGCACCTAGGAATTGGGACAATGTCCTTGGAGAAGTGTGAATAGCACCAAGGTCAAGATGTATTATCAGTGTCAAGACAATGATCCTAATAATAGTTTCCTCTTTGGTCACTTTAATTCATATTTTGTTGATTGCTGATGATATGCATTTGTTCAAATTTTTTTTTGGTAATTTTGTCTTGCTTATGAGCTGAATACTGCTATCCTTTCACTGTTTTCAAATAAGAGATTCCTTATAATTTTCTAAGATGTTTGCATATGCTCATGCTATTAAGTATATGAAAGTCTTATATTTTAAAAATACTATTTTGTGATTTGTTATTAAATTTAACACAATTAATGGTGTTAATATAGAAAAATTTTGGTTAATACATATAAAATATATTTGTGTTTTGTTTTATTTCTGAAGCTATTGCCATTATTTGAGAGGTTTTACATCCTGATCTTATATATTTACTTACATAATATTGCAATAATTTATGACTTACATTTTTAACATTAATGTCTTCTCTGTTTTGGGGCAGATTTAAATGTTGCAGAAAACACATCTACAAGTGTTCACTTATAATCTAAGTGTTAAGCCTGTTTTTCTTGCACAACTCACCTTCTACAGTTGTCCATTTACCATTTTATAAAAAAATGGATATTTCCCCTCTCTTTAATTTTTACAAATTATTGTGATACATAAACCTCATTTATTAAAATCTATGTGGTACCAAAGGGTCTATTCACATTATGACGTCAGTGAAGCTCCCTTTATTCAAAACAACTTAAATAACTGCAGTTCTTCTTTTAAAAAAGTATTTCCTATGCAATTTTATTTTATTTTTTTCAAATTGTTTTTATTTAATAAAATGAATACCAGGTTTGGGTTTCAATGATCTTCTGAACTGTCTTTTTTTATTCCTATTTCATATCCGTTTGCACTAGTTGTTCTAACTTCTTCCACTACATTTTTGTTTGTTCTTCTTTTTCCACTTCCATAAGGTGAGAGGTAAGGTGTTTTATTTGATCTCTATCTTATATCTTGATGTGGGTCTATATTGCCACATACTTCCTTCTTACTACTGTTTTTATTCTGTTGTGTAGGTGGTGATTGGTTATGTCTTTATATTCATTTGTCGCTAAGTATTTTGTAAAATTTCTTCTTTGATTTCCTCATTTATCCAGTGGTTGTTCAGTAGTGTGTTGCTCAGTCTCCATATGTTAAATGCTTATATCAACAAGTCAAGCAACAATATGTGTTGTTGAGAATGTGGATTAAAAGAAACCATCTAACACTGTTGATGGGAATGCAAACTCGTACAACCCTTCTGGAAAACAATGTGGAGGTTCCTCAAATTACTAAAAACCTTATATTTAATGTAGGTATGTGTACTTTCATATTATGAATAATTGTTTCATGTGTAGAAGAATTAGCAGAGTACTTCATGCATACTAAGTGTTCAATATATGATAGGTGTTATAATAATTAGTAATAAGTAAAAAAAAAGTTATAATTAGGTGCACATTCCCAAATTACTGAGGTAAATATTCATTCTCAAATCATAATGTAAGATACTTCCCTAGCTCAGTTGACTAGGTGGTCTCATGATGTCAAAATGTAATGTGGAAGCTTTATTTTTTAAAGTTTGTATTTATTTTATTTTGTGATGGGGATACTTTTAACATTTATTTCTTCATTTGTATATTATATATGTGTGTTCCTTGAATTTACTTTATTCTTATGGCTAAATAATATTTTAATGTGAAATTTTTCTTTCATCTTCAAAAAAATTCTCAAAGTACATGTATATGTGTGTATGTATATATATGTATATAAAATAATAAACACAAACATGCTGTTCTTCTAGTGATAGATTCACATACTGAGGGGAAAATAAAAGTCTCAAAAGAAATTCCCTTGGTTTCTTGGGACATATTAACAAACCCCCAAATAATCTGCTAGCTTGCAATGTTTATATTATTGTCTTGAAATGATTAATTTTAAAGGAAACAACTCTAACTTTATAACATCACACTTGAAATTATAAGTGTATTTTTAATACACTTCTAGGATCTTTTGAATATTTTTTCTTCTTTTGTTTTTCTCCCTAGAGACACTATCCCCTTAGATTTGCTGTAAAGAAGCAAACACTCCTTTCATATAATTTAAAACTGCCAACATTTCCCAAGTTTCAAGCTAATCATCTCAGTTATGATGATCTTTCTTAATGTTTCTGATGTGGGATTAGTTGGTAACACATATTTTAATTATATGGCATCAAAAAAGAAAGCTTTGTGATTCAAAAGCATAGGTACTATTTAATATTAAGATATATGTGAGAGTGAAGGAAAATTATGTTTCTAAAATCATTACACTTTAGCCCTTTCTTTGAATTAACTTAAAAGATTACTTGAAATTAATTTATCTGCCTACAGACTTAAATATTGTTTTCCAGTGAGAATGTCTGCCTTTCTTTATGATCGATCCTTAATCTGGACCTAAGAGGAAAAAGATACCAATAGACTTACAAATGGTAAGTAAAATAGTGGTGTTATTTTAATTTTAATTTTTAATAATTACAAACATCTCCTAATTTGCATATGTATAACTTCATTTGCAAAAGAATATTTTGTTAAGAATTCTACAGGAAACTCTAGAGTATCTGTTGCATTTACTCTAAACATACTGTGGGAAAAAGCAGTTTCTGCATTGCTAATAGTATAGTGATTAGATCAGACCCTGCACTCCAGAATTGTGGAGGGAACCATGGTCATTCTATTATACTCTAGATATAGAGAATTTGAACAGCTCCAGATGTTAATCAAACATAAGGCTGAAAGGTATTTTCCTGGACAATTGTCTTCACATGTTTTAGTTCATTGCTAGAAACAGAAAAATATCTTTTTTGAAATTGCTATTTTGAAATTGCTATCTTTTTGAAATTGCTATTGCTGATAAACACTGGGCAATGATAGCTCAATGTTGATAATTATTGATTGCAAAAATCTGTACTTGTTACAGAACAAACACCTGATTTGTGGTTTTGAGATTACTCTGATAACCACAATGAGCATAAAGGAATGCTTGATGTATTTTGCAGGAAAAGTAGAAGTTAGAACAAAGACAGATTTTTAAAATTTATTGTTATTGAAGTAACATTATTTTATATCCTTGCTGAGGATTTCCCGCCTTAGGTGTAGTCACCATAGAACTTCCACCATGAAAACACTCATATTCCTCTGCTATAGTCCACTGTATTCCTAACCCTTCCACATTCCCCTGATTTCTCCCTATTCCTGCTCCCTCCCCCTCTGAAAGCCAAATATCTATTGCTAAATTTCTAGGGTTGGTTTTAAAGTTTATTTTTTTATTTCATAAATTTTTTTACATCATTTTTCATTTTTGCACAATGTATGCATTTTCATCTTGGTTATAGCCCCCAAACAGTTCCCACCCCCCTTGTTTTGATCCTACTCCCTTATCCCCCCACCCCATAGTGTGTCTCGGTTTATAGTTGCTTGTTGATTTAAATATATCTTACCTTATGTAAATAAGATATATTAGTTTTTTGAATCCACCAATAGTTTATTTTTTTGCTTTTATGGAATAAAAGCAAAAGATTAGGGAAGCTTGAAAGAAAACATGTTATTGGATGGTTTCTTTTGGTAGGTGTTTTTAAGGATAACTAATTTTTTTAATGAACACATAAATGTCCTATAGTTTAATTTTTCACTTAAAGAGTACTTTATTTTTAATTAACATTGTTAGTACATTTTCAGAAATGATATTTGCATGTCCATATGTTGTCATTGTAAAGTTTGGGTCAATTCATATAAAACATTTGTAACAAATATATTTATAATGTTTTTAAGGAGACTGTGTATTCAAAATGTAATTTTATTAATGGATAACATTATTTAAATTTTTTTATTTAAATTTTTTACCTTTTTTTCTTTAAAATGAGGTACATTCGTTAGAGCACCATATCTTAGGGTATAAGTTCACACCTCTTTGGATGTCTGTTGCCACACCACCAAGGCGCCAGTGATTCTCCACCCAGTTCATTGGGCTCCTCCACCATTTGCTTACATTCACCTGCCTCCTCCGGCAGCCTCAATTCTACATATTACAAAGATTTATTCTGGCTTGGTTAATAATTATTTGTAATTATATATGTCTTTTCCCCCACAAATGTATATTTTTCTTTTTCAGAGGTCTGTCTCTTTTATTGATTTTTTCAAATAAACACTTAAAAATAGGAAGTTTAGTTTCATTATCTTGCATTATCAGTAGTATGTATCTAAAGAATATATTAGCTACAGTTTTCAATGGAATGAATCAGCCCTGTTTGAATCACTGTGATTTTTTATAGAAATCTGAAACAAACTTACAAAGTTTTAACAACATAAACAAAATCATTTGTTAGTAGTACATCTGAATCTGGATAGTGAAATCAATAGATGAACAGTTATTCAACATAATGTACACTTTGCTTAAAGACTGAAGAAGTATGGTTAGAGTTATATAATTGAAAAATAAAATTTAAAGCTGTTTTAGTAATATCAGCAGTTAATAGTATTTTTGATACAAAGATGCTGCAAAAAATATTTCCCGCAATTCTCTTTACCACTGTTTTCCTTTAAAACATCTAAATAGTAAATCTGAAGAAAATTCAAACATTTTCTCCATTACTCTCATGGTCTCAATTACACATGGCAAAATGTTAAAGCCTTAAATATTTTTTTTTTGGAAAATGGGGCTATATTTACTTTATATTCAAATGTCCCCCTAAATTCACCTAATACTTATTTTGTTGTAGTATTGAACTCTCTCTCCTTTTGTCATTTTTTATGTCTTCATCACAGTTCACTGAGAAGTTGCAAGAAGCTACATTGGTGTTTTAAACGACGTTTCAATATGAAATCTAAAGCTTGAGATTTTAACTATAAATTAATATGTTTATGAATATGAAGCATTTTATATATTGTATCCTGGATATAAAGTTGCTCATGTTTTAGTGCCTCTTTATTTCTAGAATTTTATTTAATCACAAAAGAGAAATGAAAAACCATACAAGGCAGATAGAATTTATCCTTCTGGGACTGACGGGTAATTCTCAGTTACAAATTATCATTTTTTTCTTTCTTTTTCTAAATTACCTGCTGAGTATGATAGGAAACTTAACGATCATTGTTCTCACTTTACTGGATCCCCATCTCAAGACCCCAATGTATTTCTTCCTTCGTAATTTCTCTTTCCTGGAAATTTCATTCACCAGTGCTTGTATCCCTAAATTCCTAATCACCATTGTAACCAGGCAAAAGACCATTTCCTATAATGGCTGTGTATCTCAACTGTTTTTTTACATATTCTTGGGGGTTACAGAATTTTTTCTTCTAGCAGCTATGTCCTATGATCGCTATGTCGCCATCTGCAAACCTTTGCATTACACATCCATTATGAGAAGCCAAGTTTGCCATAAGCTTGTACTCAGCTCTTGGGTGACTGCATTTCTGGTCGTTTTCCCTCCATTGATTCTGGGTCTCAACCTAGATTTCTGTGCTTCAACTATCATTGATCATTTCATTTGTGATATTTCTCCTTTTCTGCAACTTTCTTGCTCAGACACCCATTTACTGGAACTGATAGCCTTTACCTTAGCTGTGCTGACTCTCGTCGTCACGTTGTTATTAGTGGTCCTTTCTTATTCTTGCATCATCAGGACAATCCTAAAATTCCCTTCATCTCAACAAAAGAAAAAAGCCTTCTCCACCTGTTCTTCTCACATGATCGTGGTCTCCATCACATACGGCAGTTGTATATTTATCTACATAAAACCATCAGCAAATGAAAGAGTGACTTTAAGCAAAGGAGTTGCTGTGCTCAATACTTCAGTTGCCCCTTTGCTGAATCCTTTTATTTACACTCTGAGGAACCAGCAGGTTAAAGAAGCCCTCAGAACTGCATTTAGAAAGATATTTTGTGCTTTACACAATTAATAGTGTGTATTGAAATAATTGACATAAAAATATGAACAGAAACTATATTGACTTCTGGTTTAAGCACTGGTATCTAATATTTGCATCATCTTAGCTTACCGAAGTTTAGAAATTCCATTCTATACATTCTTTTTAACTTTCCTTACAGTTTTTCAGCATGAAATTTAAGTTAGAAATATGATCACAGATTTTATTTTCTCTAAAAGCATGTTAGAATAAAATAAATACAGGTTTTTATTGCACTATAGAAGATAGGTTTGCAGAGAGCTGGATATGATAAATAAGTTAAATATGGCCCATGTTTTACTTAAAATACATGCTTTTAAAAATTCCTAGATACAATGAATTTTGTAATTATTAAGTATGCTTAAGATGTTTCAAGAGAACTTGATCTTTAAAGGGACAATGTAGAGATATGTCTTGTAAAATTATTTATTTTAAAGTGTAAAAGTATCAACATAGTAAGAAAGCACAATTTCCTTTGAAACAAATCATACATTTTATATATGTGATTTTAGTTTTTGTTTATGTTGGGCAGTTGATTTCCAGTCTTTTAAAAAAACTATAAGCAATTTTAATCTCTTAAAATTATCAATGAATGTATTGAATAAATGAGTATATATAATGAATTTTATACCTTGTTAATTATTACATTTTATTTATTTTATTGTCTAAGATTTATTTATTTTATGCATACAAGAACTGGGGTATAGAGGCCAGAGGTGTGGGGTGGTGGTGAGAGGATTCACCAGAGACAGAGTGGGGAGCAGAACAGGCATATCTACTGAAATACATTGCTGAGGGGAGCAGCAGGGAGGCAGGAGAGGTCTGCTGCACCATGTGGGTAGCTCCCTGGCCTGGGATAGAATTCGTGCTGCAGTGGTGATATTGGGATAACGCTGAGCATTAACCCCTAGGCCACCAGGGACGCCTCAGTTATTGCATTTTAATTCTGTACAATTTTCCTACAGAAAATGACATCAAATCAATTTCTTAAAATTCAAATGACTTTAAAGATAAAAAGTTTCATTTTCTCCAAAACTGTTTCACTTTACTCCAAAGTGTCACTCTTAGACACATAGATGCCCAGCTCTGTAATGATCCTAGTGTACATACCATTATAACAATTGCTTTATACTGAGATGGTGATTAATGATTAGAAAACATCCTCTTCCATCTTCAATATGTGCCAGTGGTATATATTTTTGTTTGTGTTACAGATACCATATACTTCCCTAATCAATATTCTGTCTATTAATTTTAACAACAGTGGGAAAAGAAAACATTCATGGATGAATAAAAATATATTACTAGGTTATTGGTAAACTTTGATCTTAACAACTACAAGTAAAGGAATTTTGTAAAGATACATGTATATTTAAAAAAGAGATTAGTTCTCAGATATCAAGATAATGATTGCCGCTATTAATCCACCTAGAATAAGTGGAGGAGATAAATGTATAGAGTTGTGTGTTGCATAAATTTCCCATAATTTTATCTTTCCCACACAGTCTCATTGAAAAAGAATGAAAGCAACATTCTGTGTTCCATCTTCATTCCTGTGGCAAATAACATTTCCCTAAAGGACAGTAAGACAAAAATAACTCTATCCAACATGCTCCCACAGTATAACTTTGATACTCCTCCCAAGAGATGGAGGATCTAAGTTCCTCTCCTTGAATTTGAGCAGCAACTACTGACTGTTCTAACCACTACAAGTTACACCAGGTGATTCTAAGTTTAGGTAACAAAATATATATAGCTCCGGTCTGGGCCCCTCTATTTTGAGACATGGTGGAAAAGCTCAAGTTGATCCTAAGATGAGATAGAGAGGTGCATAGCAGGCAAACCAAACAAAGAAATCTGACTATTAAGGCTACGGGGGTGTGGGCATGAATGGGGGAGAATGAGAGCAAAGATGGAGTTAGCCCAATGCACATGATAGGGGATTGTGCATGTCTTGGTGGTGGACATAGTGGTAACACACTGGAGGGGTGTAAAGTATGCCTCTGAATTATATACAGCACTGTAAACTGTTACCTCTATAACATAATAACAAGTAATAAAACCAACCAACCAAGAACAGAAAACAGAGGTCTCAAACTGACAGCCAGATCCTGCTACTGGACCCGGAGACAGTGTCGTAAGCTGGCTAGCTCTTTGTCTTTGAGTCTTTCCTAGAAGGCTCCAGAGAGCAAGGTGCAGACATAAGATCTGCTGTTAGTTTATGTAAAAATTCCTGATAACAGAATATGTGACACTATGACTTCTATACAATAAAGCAGTGAAGTATTTTTAATGGAAGTTTCCTGGCAAAAACATGCTTACAATTGGCAATTATTTTTCCTGTAGAAATCATACCAAAAGTAATCCATAAGTCAAAGTGGAAACCTGCAATTGATTAATTGATCAATCACGAATTTAATAAGAATGTGGCTTATGTTTGTCAAAGCTCATCTAATTGGATCTTTAAGTCTTATGCATTTCGCAAAATGTAAATTTACCTAAAAAGGGAATTTTATTTTATTTTATTTTATTTTGATTCTTATTTTATTTTTTTATTTAAATTTTATTTTTATATTCCCCATACAATTACAACCCCCTTATTTTGACCCCAAGCCCTCCTTTCCCCGCCCCCACCCCCCATAGAGTGTCTCTGGTTCATAGTTGTTTGTTGATTTTGATTTTCACTTTCTTATAGTTATTCATTTTCCTGGTCCCTTATTTAAGTTTTCTAGATTCCTGCTATGAGTGAGACCATCTGGTATTTTTCTTTTTCTTTCTGGCTTATTTCGCTGAGCATGATCCCTTCCAGCTCCATCCATGTTGCTGCAAATTGCACGTGTTTATCTTAAAAAGGGAATTTTAAACACAATTCTGAACACAGATTTGTTTTACAAAGTTGTGTGGACTGTCAATTCTATAATTGCTTTGTTTGTATTCTACACATATGCAATTATTGTGGTAAGTAAAGTGACTTTAAAACAGTTCTATGATTCTAACCTTCATGTTCCAACACAGTTATACCACATTACAGATCAATAAATAGGGAAAAATCTGTATTTGAGAATGATCTATTTTCACATACAAGTGACGGAGATCTCAAGCTTACCTGTATGTAATGTCACCCTCACAGACTTGCCATACCACAATGCACTCTTGATTTGGAAGCAAAGTATTCAAATATCAACACATGGGATTCCAAAACCACTGCAATTTTCCCCACAAATAACAATCAAAAGAAAGTTGACAGTGAAGAGAAAATTTTAGTTTTCCAATTCCATTGATAATTTAAAAGAAACTTTCAACTTCCCTTACAAATTTAAAATAAATAGTTGGTCAGGAGTGAGCTTAATATTGGAGCTATTTTATTCAATTAGTTCCTTGCCCTTTCTGTGTGTTAGTCAGAAGTAATTAGTTACTTTCACAGAGCGATAGCTTTAAAAAGTGGGAGTATTATCAGTAGATTTTTGTTATTTTTCGTCTTACGTTAACAAACACACTATTGTTCATGTCCCACCAGAGTCACCAAAACAAACAAACAAAAAACCACTATCACTTACTTCAAACTGTAAGCGCTTCAATTTAGAAATATTTTCAACTGTCTCTTTGATCTTTTATTTATTTTTAATTAATTAACTTATTTTTATTAAAATTTTTGATTATGGCAACATTGGTTTAGAACACTTTTTATGATTTAGAAGTATAGTATCCCACCCTATCCTTATATGTCACTACACATCTACCACCAAGACTCCCATGGTCCCCCAATTTTTTTAATTCCAGTATTTTATGCCCTTTAGTAGTTCTTTATTTTTCCTGTTCTTGCTGATTTGCTACCCTTGATAGCTCTTAAAATCTGTCAATTGACCTTGTGCTGTATGTGATGGTATTTGTTGTATTTCATCATTTAAAATGTGTAGTGTGCCAACATGTTCTTATGTAACTATTCCATGTCTGTAACATATAAATGATAAATGATATGTTTAAATACGTTTTATATTAAATGTGTGCCTTAAGTTAAGTTCTTCTTTCATGAAAATAAATAAATAGCTAAATCATCTTATCAGGGATTGTGAAGATATTTCCGTATCTTCAATTTTAATTATTCCAAATTCCTCTGTCATCTCCATTTCTACTTTGTTGGTGTCATTATTTTAATTATCTTGTGATGGTTTGTTTGGTTTTATTTATTTTTAATCTATCTTTGATATTGGTGTTTTCTGTTTTTTATTTTATTCTTATATTTATAATATTAATTTTAATACCTTTGTTTTAGAACAAGCCAGTGATATTACTACATAATGTAATGCCTATATAATTTATGTGCTTTTGAATATTACTGTTTTCCTTCTTTCCCTACAACATTAAAAGAAAGACTAGGGGGCCTCCCCGGTGGCGCAGCGGTTGAGCGCTGGGTTGCGAGGCTGCCTGCAGCCTCTGCAGCCGGTTCGATCCCCGGCTGCTCCCCGGCCACCGGAGGAGGGTCCCACATGGCGCGCAGACCTCTCCTGCCGCCCGCTGCTCCCCTCAGCAGTGTACTTCGGTCCTTCTGCCTGCTCTGCTCCCCGCTCTGGCTCTGGTGAATTCTCTCGCCCTCCCACACTTCTGACTGTACCCAGTGCATGTATAAACCAAACAAACAAACAAATAATAAATAAATAAATAAATAAGACATGCCTCTAGAAAATTAAAAAAAAAAAAAAATTAAAAAGAAAGACTAGGTCAGTGGTGGAGACAAGTTTAATGGCTTGGAAATATGTTTTTTAGTTTCACATGAGTTTGGTTTGGTTGAAGAAGGTGTTTGAAAGAAGATGGGAGGTTAGAATGCAGTATCAAATCACTAAGAAAGTAAGCAGGGCCAAATTAAAGGTATAAGCAATGAAATAAGTTAGAAGTTTTACTTAAGTACTTAGAGGGCTTTCATCTCTCATATTACCCTGATTCATCGAAGTTTTGAGAGAAATGCAATCCTCTTTAAAAAGTCATTGAAGGCTTGTTTCACTTGCTTATTCCTCAGGGTGTAAATGAAGGGGTTCAACAAGGGAGCAACAGAAGTAGTGAGCACTGAAACACCTTTATTTATGGCTACCTCATCCTTTGCAGAAGGTTTGATGTAGATGAAGATGCAGCTTCCATAAGCGATGGAAACCACCACCATGTGGGATGAGCAGGTGGAAAAGGCCTTCTTCCTTTGTTGGACAGAGGGGAACCTCAGAATTGTCTTAATAATGTATGTGTAGGATAGAAACACACACACAAGGGTGATAATGAGTGCAATTATGGCCATAACGATAACCATTTGTTCTATTACCCACGTATCTGAACATGCAATCTTTATGAGGGGGCTTGCATCACAGCTAAAATGGTCAATGGCATTGGAGTCACAGAATTCAAGCTGAAGGCCCATGCTAAGAGGTGGGAGAACAATCATCAAACCAGATACCCAACAGCAGAGGACTAGTGAGGCACACACCCTATTGCTCATGATGGTCATGTAATGAAGGGGTTTGCAGATAGCGACATAGCGATCATATGACATGGCTGCCAGGAGAAAAAATTCTGTTGCTCCGAAGAGAATGACAAAAAATATTTGACTTGCACAAGCATTGTAAGTAATGGTATTATCCCCGGTTGACATACTGTACAGAAACCTAGGAATACAGACAGTGGTAAATGAGACCTCTAAGAAGGAAAAATTTCTGAGAAAAAAGTACATAGGAGTTTTAAGATGGGAGTCCACCCACGTGAGGGTGATAATAGTAAGATTCCCTGTTACACTCAACATGTAGGTGAAAAATAGAAAGATAAAAAGCAGGATTTGCAGTTGTGGATCGTCTGTTAATCCCAGCAGGATAAAAGTTGTTATTGCTGTGTGATTTTTCATCACAGACTTTTGGACTCTGCTAATAGGCATATAAAAATCATAAAGTCTTCATGAGGAAGTAGATATTCAATATCTGTAGCAAAATGCAGTATATAAAAGCCAGGCAAACTCCTTTTTACATCACGGTCAATATTGCCACAATTCCAACAGCCTTTCTGAATTGTGTATGCATGAGCAGGGGATAATTCCTTCAGGATTCATGAAATTGTGAAAACAATTATTAGTTTATTAAATCAGTCATTACCCCTTGAAACTGACAAAGGTAGTTGATTGCAATTCATTGCATAGATTGGAATTACAAACGGGGGGAAAGGTGATGTTGCTTCATGTACACTATAACATTCTTTATCCAAGACAGACTTTGGCTGTAGGACAGTTATGAGCATGAAGAGTTATGAGCAGAGAGTTAAGAGCATGAAGCTTCTTCCATTGTTGCTATCAAAGGATGCATTTTTCTTCTGGAAAACAAGAAAACAACAATCACAACAAAAATCAACACTGGTTCCTAGATTTTTCTTTTATCTCTTTTATCCTTCTGTCCTTCTATTCCTTATTCTTAACTCCCAGAGGGTTTGGAAAGTATTTTATATATAGCATGGGTAAAATTTACCATCAAGATATTTGCAAAAGGATTTATTCTCATATGTGCTCATGTTATTTTTCAGTCTGTTGACATATTTCCATTTCTCTCAAATTCCTGAAGCCAAAGGTACACTTAATATCACTAACTATAATTTTCCAGGCTGTGTCTTCTTACATAATGTTCTTAATTTCACTGAAAAGGCAATGGTGTCTCCACCACCTGAAACCCTACTCAGTTTAGACTTGAAGTCTCTACAACCTTTCATTGCAACCACCCACAGCTTTTCTTACACCCTCAAGGACTTCTTTTTACTATTAAGACAGCACATTTTTATAGTTATTTTGCCTTACATCACCCACAATATTTTTTTAAATTAAAATTTAGTCATTCATCGAATTCTGTCATCATTCTGATTTTTGCTCCTAATTCTAAATCTCACTTCTCAATGTCCTACTCTATCTCTTCATCTTCTATTCATCTTTGAATTATTGCTGTTCTGCAATGTTCTATCTTGAGTACTTTAGTTTCATGATTTCTGTTTGTGATTCATCTTACTTCACACTTTTCTTCATGGGTGACATTCACTCAGTGAAAAGGATTTTCATTGAATAGATGAATTCCAAAAGCCAAAACTTTTCCAAGTAAAAAACACTTACCATATCTCTCACCTGTTGGATACCCCACAGACACCTCACATTTTGTCTGTTCAAAGTGAAGTCTTGCTCCCTCACCATGCCTTCTTCTCTTCCATTGGTAACTATTTCTCACAAAGATTGATTTCTTTTGTGAGGACGCTTCATGAACAGTACCTTCCCTATATTCTTGCCTCAATACTTGTAAGTTCCTTACCTTTCTTCCTTATAACGGAAATTGCAACAGCATTGACTAGTTGCAATTCTCCACCCTGTCTCTTGTGCAAGAGCTGCCTTGTGCTTATTTGTCCTTGAGGAGTCTCTGAGAGTATCAGTTCTTCAAGGAAATCTTCATTTATCCTTCCAGGGTGTGAGAGTATGATTCTGTTATTTCTAACCCCTTGTTACGTGTGCTGTCTTGAAAAATAGGACTGTATATTTCAGTATACTTATATATTTCTGTTCAATATTTCTATAAATTTCTCCAAAGTAGAGATTATACTTTATATATTTTTATATTCCCTTGTGGATAGCATGTGTAAGGCATAATGGAAGTGTGAATTGAAGAAATAAAAGAGTTGTCTATGGGCTGAGACTAAGCTGTAACTTCAATGTCTCTTCTGATCACTTGGTCCAACAGCTTTATTTTCTTCTCTCCTTCAAATTTCACTGTAATTTTGAGTACATTCTTAAGTAAAAGGCTTACAGTTGAAATCCCAACTCTAAACTTTGTAAATCTGCCTTTTCTAGACTCTTCCTCTGGCTTTTGAACTAGTCCTTATTTTATCGCTTCTCGGCCTTTTGGCTAAGATCAAGTGTGTGAACTAGTCCTTATTTTATCTTTAATATTATAATTCTCCATCTATTGCTGTTATTTACCTAGTGGGCTGTTTCTAATAATCCCTCTTCTGGAGATTTGGGCATTTCCCCACTAACCAGAATTTGCTCCCCCTATGATATTTTATAGAAACTGAAGTAGTTTTATTCTTCCTCTAAGAGAGACTGTGTATTTTAGAATGCTTTCTTTAGCTTTCCTGCCTTCTTCCCAGACCTCAGTACCCTTTCTCTGATAAGAACTGTTTTTCATTCAAAGAATTACTTTGTATAGTTTCCATTAAATTCTACAGGCATTCGCATAGATGTTATATATGTATTCCTTCTAGAAGTTCAAGAGCCTCCTAATATTCTTAGGGTCATTAGATCATTTGGGTCACTAATAAACTCTAAAAACTCTGCTACCGTAACTGTGTCTGACATATAACAATTACTCAAGGCGTTTGATGAATGATGCACCTAAGATGTACTTTTAGGTGTATTTGCATTTTAATTTTTTAAAACATGGTGAGAATTTCAGGTTATACTCACCAGGGTTAATTATTCATAATGGTAGTTATGAGTCCCTGTTTGAAACCTCAGTCTCTGCGGTTCCTACGATTTCTCCATCATTGAAGGAAATGGTGTTTCCATGGGAGAGATCAATTACTATGTTGTATGAATAATTCTTCAATCATTCATAGTTTGCTTTCAAATACTTCCTATAAATGAAATGAGTCCTCTGACACTATCCAATGAATTCCTTACTGCCTATGGACACGTGCCTTATAAAATCCCATGAGGTACACGTGGGAAAGCCAGCTTTGGCTTACAGAGACCATCACAGGAAAACGGATGCAAAAAAAACAAAGAAAAACTCTAATTTAAATGTTACAAGCCTAGCACAGCTAATATGAAGACACAGCAAAGCTACTGACCATTGCTCTCCAGAGACAACCTGGCACATAGTTACCTCAGTTAAACACTCAAGGTTTTGCAAGAACTTGGTAAATAATGGAAACTGTTTGTTTTGGTGATGCTTCCATTCTTAAGAGCATGAGGACTTTGTGAACGTCAGGTGCTAACCAACAGCCTTCAAGGAAAGGAAAGCAGAGTTCTTTGTTTCCAAAATTACTATGACTTTTCATATCTCGTCAATATTCCTTCCTCTATGCAAATCTTATTTTGCCTTTGTTAAATAGGATCAATTTCCCTTGTCCTCTGATTATGATATATCTAGCATTTCTTTTTTGCCGAAACTCTTTCCTCAGTTGGCAAATTGTTCTTTACAGAATAATTCTGAGATTAAGGGAACTTTTCCACCAAGTCAAAAGTTGCTTTGGAGGGACTGAATTACATCTGCTGAAAAATTTTCATCATAAAATAATGTTTACAATTTAGAAAATGTAGATATCTTTAATGATGTAATATTCTTTTTGAGTATTACTTCAGGGGGTTGGGAGTTGTATTTTTGTGTTCTCATAAACTAACACCATAGATGACTACTGGTCTATGCAAAAACATACAAAGGGATATTGAATTATACATAATAAGTCCATAATTTTCCACATTAAATATTAAATACATTATGGAGGAAAATGCATAGAAATATTTCTTTATCTTATTTATCAAAAAAGAAAATAATTTTCATATCTGTGTAGTGTTCAGGATCATCAACCTAAATTTACTCACCAGGCATCTTTGGGAGGATCTTGAGAGCTCCTAGTTTTCCATTTTCATACCATATATTAGCTATCGTTAGAGGCACTTTTTTATTTTAAGTCTTGGAAACATTTTCTTTTGATCTATGCCATGAAGAGAAGAAAACCAGTGTGAGGGAGAACAAAAGATCTTCCTCTGGGTTCTGGAAGAGCTCTGATCATTCTGAGCAATGAGTTGGCTTTCAAATATTAAAGTTAATGATATTTATGTTTTTCTGTTCCTCAATTTTCTGGAGGTACCCAACGATCACCTGAATGAGTTAAGGTTCCTCAGTGACCTATTTCCTCACGTCTCTAACAAGCCTCTTGGGTAATATACTTTGGCAAAATAACTAAATAAGCAACAGCATCCATGCTGTCATCTGAGATAGTAAAGTAGAACAACAGCATCAGATGGAAGTCAGGTGCCAATCCTACCAACCAGAAAAGGAACACAGCCTGATTCAGTTCTCTGCTACACTCTCTAAGCACATGGGTAGAAGAGGTTTAATAATTAAATATTTTGCTTTACCTGATCTCCCATGACATAACTGTTTATAAAGTGTCTATTTACTGTTATAAACACATTGAGGAAAAATACCACGTATTCATTGATCTTGCGGAACAAATTTGCATTATTTGTCATAGGAATATTTTTTGATGTGTGAAAAACAGGAAAAATATTACAGACATATTATTTTTAAATTAATGTAACATTGGTTTACAAAACAATGTAAATTTGAGATGTAGTTTCATACCACAGGACGCTCAACACCTAAGTTCAAGCACCGTTTCCTGCTGTCAAATTGACCTCCTCTGCTCTTTCCTCCCACACACTTTCCCTTATTCTCTGGTGACCACTGTTTTGTTGTCAGAATCTAAGATTTTCTCTTATTGTGTTTTGTTTGCTTCTTTATATTCCACATATTAGATAATTCATATGGTGTTTGTCTTTCTCTTTGTAACTTATTTCATTTAGTATCAACAACTTAAATTCCATCCATGTTGTTGCAAATAGGAAAATCCATTTTTAAGTTGTTCAGTAATCTATGGTCTTTCATCCCCATGTTTACACTGACGTGAAGTTGCAGTATGGAATTATATGAGTTTCAGGTATGCATAATTAAAAATTAACATGTGTATAAACTACATTAAATTCACCACTAAAAATCTAATTCTTTCTCCATACATTTGGGTTCTGTTTATATGATTTACTCACCCCCTTTACCTTATCTTATGGTAGCTAATAATTAGTCTTATAATCTAAAATTTTATTTGGTTCATCTGTATGTTTTCTTTATATACCACGCTAGACTAAAATCATTGGTGTTTGTTCTTCCCCATCTTTCACTAAACATAATACATTCTCTGCCCATCCATGTTGTTACAAATGGCAAGTTTTTATAACTTTCTTTTTTAGCTGAGTGTTGTCCTATTTGTATAGATACCACGCCTTCTTTATCCAATTATTGAAGGACATGTGTTACCCTCAGGCTTTTGCTGTTATAAATAATGCTTCAATAAACACGAAATTGTACAAATTCTTTTGAATTAGTGTTATCCTTTTTTTTTTTTTCAGTTTAATATCCCAAAGTGGGATAACAGGATTCCATGTAATTTCTATTTTCAATTTTTTTGAGTAACCTTCATACTGCTTTCTTTAATAGCTGTACCAATTTATGATCCTACCAACAATGTACAAAATAGCAAGATTCCATTGTTAAACATATTGTTTGTATTATATAAATATGCACTTGTACTAAAAATTGGCTAACTTGTAGTGAAATGTATGTATTATAAAGTTTGCCACTAAAATTGAAGAACCATTCACCCTGGAAAATGTTAGTTTGGAAGTTTTGTGCTTGGAATATCTGTATTATATATTATAATCATTATAAGGGAACATGAAAGTGTTCTCAATTGGTGCCAATTCTCATGAACTTAAGGAGCAACCTGCCTCCATCTTAGACTGTGGAATATAAAGTAACTAAATTAATAGTTAGATAAAGACAAACTGAAAAGCTAAATCTTGGTAGAAGACTGCAGAGTTGAAGGACCAAGTACAGGAGGAGGTGGAACAGGTGTAAGAAAAAAGAGGGAAGGGAGCACATTGGCCTACGGTGGTGGACTATGGGTGAGCTGGTGGTTGGGTACATTATAGTGGTAATACCTGATGGGGGCACCCCAATATTACCTTAAAAATAAATAATTAAATAAATTATAAAAGAGAAGAAATTTCCTCCTACCGAATGTCTGTATTTTTACTCAGTAACATTACTTGGCATAAGAATATTTTTATGCCTCTTTTAATTTTTATCACTTTTGAGGTTTAATATATTAAATTATAATAATAGATTTGTTCACTATTGGATTTCTCAAATAAGGTATTTGGTCATGCATGTTATTAATTTTACATGTTGCTGGATTTGGTTTCCTAATATCTGGAAATTATCAGTCTCTTCTTGTGTGTATATGTGATATCTTTGATGAACTTTGGTATCAAACTGTAGAAATTACAAGGAAAAACATAAACAAATGAAACTTAATCTACATCTTTCAATCTGTGATAGGAACTTAAAGGAGTAAAACGAGCAAAATGAAAGACTGGAGAATACCTAAATAGCATACTTTGTATAGAAGATTTAGTGGAAATGTACTCTATAAACTGGTGCAAGAAAGTTCACCTTCTTTTAATGTGCCCTTTTTATGTTTACAAAATTATTCAAAAGGAAATCCTATTAAACTCTTAGACTTTGAGGTAAAACAGAAAATTTTATCTGATCATAATGCTATAAACTAGAAATCAATAGTGAAATTTTAATGGGAAGGGATGATTCATCATGTGTCTTCAAATTTAGGTAAAAAGAAAAAAAATGATATTCATGATTTAAACCACCCCATTGTCCTCAGTTCTTTATTAGGCTGATGCTGAGAATGTGGCTACATATATAAGACACCTGAAAATTCTAGGCTCTAGTAACCTTTTTAAAGTGGTTAAATATATACTGTGATTCAAATATTTGACTCGCATGTGAATATGACAGATAATAATACAAATTTGATAAAATATGTTTCTTACACAAGACTGTACTAGTATAAATTTACCAAGAGTATGTCTTTCTCTAAAGAATGTGTAGGTCACTTTTATTTTGAAAGGGTCTCTATAGCTGCAGGTCTGCATGCTTTCCATACATTTGTAATATACATTCCCATATTACCCAGATTTTTAAAATTGAGGTAACATTGGTGTACAGCATGTATATGATTCAGAGGAATGGGTTCACAGCCCCTGAGACATAACCATGTCACACCCACATCTATTCACAGTTACCAAGTAAATTACTGATTTAAAAATGGATGATGTATTTTTTTTTTACATAAGAACTATTTCCCTGTTATTTTTAAGCAAGAGTAGGTTCCAGCCTCCAATTCTACCTCTCAGTAAATATTGTGTTCCACACTGATATGTGAACAAAGGTAACTGTAACAAGAATGAGATTAACACAGCTATAATAACCAACCACCATTAGTATGACCAGCAGAATGTTAAGTGTACAAAGGATAGCAATAAGTACAAATCCAGATGACCTAAAACCAACACATTTAAACTAACCATCTATTGTGGTCTAGAATCACATAACTGAGCCTCTTGGATTAAAGAGATGGTAAGTTATTAACACCCATTCAAAGATGAGTCAATCAATTCTTTGAAACTGGTAATTCTCTTAGAATTGGTGCCTGGGTTTCTTCTCTCTCTCTCTCTTTTTTTTTTTCCCATAAATTGATGAGTAGTCTAGAGCTTGTAAAGCACTGTGATACTTTTTATGTGACAAAAATACCCATGTTAAGGAAGACAGAAACAAAACAAAGAAATGCATGATCCAGAAAAAACAGAGAGAGAGAAACACAAGAGTGAGGTTGATCAGCAATCATTCATGGCAAATGTGAGCTCTTTCTGACTCCTGAGATAAAACGAATTTTCTGGGATTATAAATCTTTCTAAGATTATCAAAATCTTAGATAATCTTTAGATTATCTAAATCTTTGGATAATATGGTTTTCATTTTAAAATGCGGCTTGCAAAAATATAATTCTCCATGTTACACTAGGTAATCAAAACAAGATTAAACCAATTTACAAAAGAGATATGACAATACTATTAGCTAAGATACTGTATTGCTCTAGAGTTACAGACCACAAACTTGGGTAAAGTTCCCTAGAGAGCTTCATCACCAAGCTACATGTGCTAACTCTTTGCACAATTGTTTTATAGAGCATGATCCCTTCCAGCGCCATCCATGTTGCTGCAAATTGCATGAGTTTATTACCATGCAATTATCTTAATTATAATAAAGTAAAAATCAAAATCAACAAGCAACTATAAACCAGAGACACACTGCAGTGGGTGGAGGGAAGGAGTAGGATCAAAACAAGGGGGGTGGAAATTGTATGGGGACTATGACCAAGATGAAAATGCATATATTGTACAAAAATGAAAAATGATGTAAAAAATGTATAAAATGAAAAAAGAAAAAAGAAAATCAAAAAAGAATATCAAAATGCAATCTAATATAAAAAAGAATTGTTTTATAGAAACATGATTCCATTCCATTGCCTCCTTTTAAGTAATACTTTAATTATACATGTCATACACACATGAAATGGTATTAGTATCATAGTTTATTATCTTAATTATTCTTTTTTTTATTTCAAAATCAGTCTCTGCATATCTTAATTATTCTTAATTAAGCATTCATACAATAAATTGCTAAAAACAAAACTATTAAAGTTCATTCTAAACTTTCTTAATTTAATTCTTGTTTGTAAATAAATCATTCCTGTGTTCCATACGTTTCATCTAAATATCATATGAAAGAAAATGAAATTAAATTAAAGTAGAGCACATGTATGTAATAAATTTCACATGTAAATATAAAAATGCTTAGGTACAAACATATGCAGGTGAATTCATATATATGTATAGTTCTATGATTTAACAGCTATAAATGTTAATGTCATATTCTGTTTGATATAATAGACATTGATAAATATCACCACAATGTATATTATTTATAGTTCATACATTAATATAGAAAATGACTTTAGTAATTTCCTTGTGTTATGCTGTAGGATAATGCTACAGATCACACCCTTTTGTGCTTAAATTAATGTAAGGAGAGTTAGTAATGTAAAAACATTGAATCCAAAATTGCATAAATAATTGCATTACTGAGGAGGAAAAAAGAAGATAGAGGAGATATAAAAATTAATTACTTGTCTCTCCAGTTAAAATTGTGCTTTAGTTATAAATTAAAGTCAGACCAATGTTTTTGAGGAAAACATCTTTCTCACAACATCTTTAAAAGCTTGTTTCACCTGCTGATTCCTTAAGGTGTAAATAAATGGGTTTAGCATAGGAGCCACAGAGGTGTTCAGCATAGCTACCCCTTTGGTCAATGCAACTCCTTCCTTTGGTGATGTTTTCACATACATGAAGATGCAACTTCCATACGAGATCGAGACAACAATCATATGGGAAGAACAGGTTGAGAAGGCCTTTTTCCTTTGTTGGGCCGAGGGGATTCTTAAAATTGTTCTGAGAATGTAAGAGTAGGAGAGAATTACTAACATCAAAGTGGACAGAAGAGTAATCACAGCTAAAACGAAGCTCATGAGCTCTAAGGTACTTGTGTCGGTGCAGGAGATTTGCAGCAAAGGAGCAGAGTCACAGGTGAAGTGGTCAATGACCCTGGAGTCACAGAAATCCAGCTCAAGGCCCATGATGAGTGGTGGGAAGATCACCAAGAACCCAGCCAGCCAAGAGGAAATGACCAGCTGGTAGCAGACCTTGTTACTCATGATGGTGGTATAGTGGAGGGGCTTGCAGATGGCCACGTAGCGGTCGTAGGACATGGATGCCAAAAGAAAAAACTCTGTTGCACCAAGGAAGATAAAGAAAAATACCTGAGCTATACAAGCATTATAAGAAATAGATTTGTCTCCAGTGAGGATGCTGATCAAAAATCTAGGATTACAGACAGAAGTAAATGAAATTTCTAATAAGGAAAAATTTCTGAGGAAAAAATACATGGGAGTCTTCAAGTGGGAATCCAGCAGGGTAAGAATGATGATAGTGAGATTTCCAGTAACACTCAGTAAATAGGTGAAAAGCAGAAAGAAGAAAATCACAAGCTGTAATTCTGGAATATCAGTCAGACCCAGGAGGATGAAATCTGTCACTGATGTTCTATTTTTCATTTCTGGTGCTCGATTATTGAGAAAATACTGCTGTGGTCAAGAGAGAAAATAATGAAACAGCCAAGTATAAATAGCTATACCTATTTTTTTTCAGAAAATGATAACTTTTCACAAGAAGTAGCTGGGACTTCAAAAAATTCCTTCTATGCATTTTTCACAAGTTTATTATTGATCTAATAGGTACATTTTTTCTGTTTAATAGCAATCTTATTATTCTGAGAAATGTCCTGTGATTCCTTCCTATGTGTTTATTCTGTGTCGGTTTCTTACAATTGTTGCAAAACTTGTTGCTTCAACAAAAAATCTTCTCCTGTTTTTTAGCTAAAATATAGAAGAAAGTATGCTATTTAAAATGTCACATTTTCCAGGCAGAACGATTTCTGGTGATAATGGAAATCTGTGATTAAGCCAACACTGATTAATATTTTCTAGTGAAAATTCTTAATGTTCTTTCTGGAAAGTAGTAAATACTCCCTTGACAGGTGTATTTATTTATTTATCACCCTTTTCCTAGTGAAAAACTGGAGGGTAAGTCATTATAAAGTTGAATTGTGAACTTTTGTTTATATTAAACTATGTTTTTTTAAAAAAGATTTATTTATTTATTTATACAAGTACTGGGCACAGTCAGAAGCTCAGGAGGGCGAGAGAATTCACCAGAGCCAGAGTGGGGAGTAGAGCAGGCAGACTGACGAAGTACACTGCTGAGGGGAGCAGCGGGCGGCAGAAGAGGTCTGTGCGCCATGTGGGAACCTCACCCGGTGGCCAGGTATCGAACTGGCGCTGCAGAGGCTGTGGGCAGCCTTGCAACCCAGCACTCAACCGCTGCGCCACCAGGGTGGCCCCATTAAACTATGGTTTATGAAAATGGTGCCCAAATTTTTCATTGTCCTACACATATTTCTAAACATTAATGGAACTTCTGAACCACTATCTCTATTTTGACTTTTTAAAAAAGTTTCTTTCCATGAAAGTGGAATTAGTAAAATTTTCTTGTTTCAAAATTCCTAATAAAATACATTTTTAAAAATCCTACTTAATAGTTGAGCATCAGAAATTATGTTCACAAGATATATTAATGAAGTACAGGGATATTCATACATAGAATTTAAACATAGAATTTAAATATAAAACATACACATATTTTACATACATTATTTAGAATTATCTTGGACACTTATGACAGGTACATGCTTTATGTCTTTCTAATGTCTAAATGTACCAATATTAAACCGACATATTCTGACATTCATTTTCATGCTTCATTATGTCCCCATCTGAAATATAAATGCGGGCCTCCCTGGTGGTGCAGTGTGTTGAGCACAGAGCTGTGAAGCTGTCCGCAGTCTCTGCAGTGCAGGTTTGATTCCCAGCTGGCCAGGGAGATACCCACATGGCGCAGCAGACCACTCGTGTCTTGCTGCTCCCCTCAGCAGTGTTTTCAGTCTGTCTGCCTGTTCTACTTCGTGCTCTGTCTCTGGTGAATCCTCTCACTTCTACCACCTCTGGTCTGCACCCCAATTCTTGTATGCATAAATAAATCTTTAAAAAAATAAAATAAAAATATAAATGCAGGACATATATGTATACATACATTACATATATTAAGTAAAATACATGTACGTAATACGTTAATATACATTTTGTGAAAAAGAAAGAGAAAATGAAGAGAGAGAGAGGATAAACAATAGTAATCCATTGTGATAATAAAAAGAAGGGGAAACTTCAACTAGGAATAGACAGAGAATACTTACAGTTTGTAAAACGATGGATGGGTAGAGCTTAATATTGGATCCAAACTAAGATACTCAATTACCTTAAATCGGAAAACAAGCAATAGGTTAATGCTATGTGGAGAAATATCTTTCCCCTTGCTCCCTTCGATAAAGACCTTGGTATTCTTCTCACTAAACTCAGTGGAATAGTTTCCTCTTGTTTTCCCCACCATTGCTTCCAATCTGAATCCTGAAATATCGCACCTGATATCTTAACATGAAAACCTCAGATGAAAGTTTCATTTTTATGGAAGAAAAACAATCTAGACTCATTTTTGATCGGCTCTTCCAATATTTCACACACAACCATTTTCATTTATTTTCCTTAGGAAAAAAACAAACCTAAGACTTTTGATGTGTTTTGTTAGGGGAATATAGTCGTGCTGCAGAAATATTCTTTGAGACAAATTCCTAATGACTTTTGGGAAAATAGTAATAGGACACTAATGAATTATACACTAGAGCAACTTTGATAAATATATTTTAATTGGTTGATTATGAGTCCTGTGTCCCAGGAGAAGTTTGAGGCGATGATCCAGCGGGGTAATGAATGGGTATTTGGAGATGGGGCTGCTTAGCAATAAAAAAAAAACCCAACATTTTCAGGTGGTCATTTTCATATGATCAATGTATTATCATTCATAGCACTGAGGGGAATCAGTTTTAAAAAAACATCTGGTTCCACAGTTGATGCCACAATTTTATGATTATTAGAACTTTGAGATATGTCAGCTAACCTTTCCTTTAGAAAGTACTTCTTATTTTATCAACTCAGCTAAGTAACTGGTATATATCTAAATTTAGAAGCAACTCAAATTTCACCTTTACACTTCTATATTATTTCCAACACATTAGCATGAAAGCAAAGATTCATTGTAATAATGTATTAATGAGCAAATAGAGCTTATTCCATAATGAATAAATGCATTATAAAAAATAACTTTAGAAATAATATATTCTTGTTGAATATATTGTATAAGTGAAAGCTAGGATATGAAAATTACTTTTGTGTAACCAATACCGGTACTTCAAATATAGATTTTTAATCTATAATTGCATTGTTATAGACTTTATCAGTAATGTAGAGACATTTCATTTAAGAAAAATCACATCATGTATCTTTTGTTTTAAGAAGGTTGCCTTTATGTGATGTGACTATTACCTTTTGAGAGTAAGTTTTTCTACAAAAATAGCTACAGGGTTGTAATTTTATGAATAAATTATTCATACATATTTTCACATTTGTTTGCCTCTTATGCTTTAATGAGAATGAATATTTTAATGCAAATTTAGCTTTAAAAAGACAGATACTTTTAATTGTGTGTGATACAGTATAAATGGTGTGCATATACCTGTGGAATATTTATCCTAATGTGGTGATGTATTGCTTAGTTCTCAAAATTTTTAGAAGGCCTCCCTGGTGGCGCAGCGGTTGAGCGCTGGGTTGCAAAGCTGCCCGCAGCCTCTGCAGCGCCGGTTCAATCCCCAGCTGCTCCCCGGCCACCGGAGGAGGGTCCCACATGGCGCGCAGACCTCTCCTGCCGCCCGCTGCTCCCCTCAGCAGTGTGCTTCGGTCCTTCTGCCTGCTCTGCTCCCTGCTCTGGCTCTGGTGAATTCTCTCACCCTCCCGCGCTTCTGACTGTACCCAGTGCTTGTATAAATAAATAAATGAATAAATAAATAAATAAATCTTTAAAAAAAAAAAAATTTTTAGAAGTAAACTTAAATATATTTATTTTCACAAAAAAATTTAATGGTAAATATACCAGTTTAAAGACAAAGATGTCAAATTGAATTTATAATTTGCGGCCATATGTTATTTGTTTCTTTAATATTCAAATTGTATTATTTTTTATGAGGTAAAGTTAGTTTATAACACTGTGTGGTATTTAAGGATATAAATTCAAACTTCTTCAAATGTATGTTGCCATATCACACCTACAATCAAAACACTCATAATCCTCCAACATTGTACATTATTCTCCTTCCCTGTTTTGTCACTAGCACTCACCTGCCTCTGGTAATCTTAATAACACAGGGTTTGTTTTGACTATTCCCAGGTGAGGGAAATCATGTGATACTTGTTTTGCTTACCATAATCTTCTCCAGTTCCACCTAAGTTGTTGCAAATGATAAATGTCATCTTTTTTATAGCTGAGTAATATTCCATCGTGCATATGTACCACATCTTATTTATGCACTTATATGTCATTGGGCACTTTTTGTTCCATAACAATCTGGCCTTATAAACTATAGTAACAAATAAGAGTTATTGCTGATTTCCCTATCTGGATGAATAATGAGAATAATTATTTACTTGAAATATAAGGGAAGAAAAATCATTATGTCCTTTTGTAATATTAAACACAAATTTTATTTCATCAACTTCAGCTATAAATCTCATAACATGAATCTGAAACAGTCATATTATTGAATGTAGCATAATCTAATCATTATATGAGTTAAGGAGTTTATTAAAGATGTGCATGCAGGTGTGTGTGTGTGTGAGTGTGTATGTGTGAATGTGCATACACTGAATTAGGAAAAAAGAAAGAAGAGGCATTAGAGAAAAGATGGTGAACTTGGAAAAAACAGGAATCTGTATTTCCCCTTAGACAAATCATGTTGGAAGAAATGATCTAAAGTATTTTGGAAATTGATTTCCTGCAGTTCCCATGTGAAAACTTAGTGGTCATTATTAGTTGATTTCAGTCAATAATATGATAGCTGTTACCTGTCCCCCACCCTCAGATCTTATAGTAAGCAGTTTTAGGGTGCAAATCCATCTTTCTCAAAGTCTTCAAAAAATGAAGAAGGAAAAATTGCTAAGTCATTATATGAGGCCAACATTAATAATTTGAAAATTTTGAAACCAAACATAGCTCAGCTCTTAGGGTTAGCATTATGTTAGGGAGGATTTTGAGGTCTTATCCTCATTGTTCAAGAAATAATTTTGAAACTTATTAGCATTATGTGTTATAACTATGGGGAAGGAAGGTTAGTGGCATATCTACTTTTTTTCGCTATCCTTAAATGAGATGAAAAATTCTGTTATTCTAAATACTTGGTGCTTACAACTAAAAAACAAGAAAATCTAATGAATGTATTCTGAAAAATATTTTGTTTTAGAATTTAAATATCTTGATTTTCCTGGTATTTCTCGGAGACAGAGGTTTTTCAAAGAAGTTTCCTGCAAAAGAAACAGACATTAAAATTTCATGTGTT